GTAAGGTCGCTAGTCGACCGTGGACGCGGTGCGTCCGTAGTAGGGGGCATGCGCGGGGCTCGCCGTGTGGAGGGAGCACTCCTGGAGCAGAGTGCGTGGATCCGGCGCGCGATAGTGCGCGCGGGCCGTCCGCATTCCGGTGTTGAGTGTGTGGGGAGGAGGGGGAAGCTGCTTGCGGAGCTCCCGTCGGATTGGGCACGGTATTTCGTGCGGGGGCACCATCGGGAGATGGTGGTTGTCCCGCAGAACCAGCCGCGGGGCCGGGCGGTGCGTTGGCAGCGCTCGGACCCGCTGTTCGTGGGGAACCGGGTTGACTGACAGGTCGCCCATGGCGACCATTGTTCCCGGAAGGCTGGGTGGGATCCATTTGGGGACGCTGTCGTAAGGCGTCCGATGTTCTGATGACGTGGTGACGTCGAGCAACTTGATGCTGTGAACGAAAGTTCGTTCGTCGCGGCGAGAGTAAAAAAGTGTAAGTGTACGCGAGTCCCACGACTCCCCGAATCCCGCAAGTACTCTGGACCGGGCTCGATTGCTCGGCGTACTCGCTGGATGGTGGGGGGTGGTAGAACTCTGCCCCCACCAGGCGCCCGAGGCCCGAACCTTCGGGCGCCGTACGCTTACGTACGATACATGAATAGCGGTATCTAATCTACGGGCGCCTAGATGCGCTAGTTCTCCGCGATTCCCGGAGAACACCTTCTCCTACTGAAGTGGACGTTCCCGTCCAGGCACTAGGGAGTGCCGGTAGTAAGTAAGAACCGTCGGGTTCTTACAGCTCGCGTCTCGGAGATTCAGGTGGTGTGGCATCGTGTCGACGTCTTCGGTGGACGGGATGCGCCGCACGCCCGACAACGCCAGGATCTCTGTCAGGGCGCTCAGTGACGCCCACACGATACGCACGAAACGTAAATCTCACCGTTGAACGTTCCCGCGGGCGTGAGCAGACTGAGCAGCCCCCAGAGGGTGCCGCCGCCCAAACTCGTCCCACTCACCCGCTCAAACGCCCCGTCCTCGTCCACATTCACGATCGACACGCCCGAGCCTATGTTCACGAGCACGCACGATGGCTGCGGGACTGGGTGCTGCACGAACGTGACCGCGCTTGGCTGCCGCGCCTGCGCCTACGGGTGGGCTGCTCGGCGCGCTACTGTACGAAGGGGCTATACAACTCGCCCGACACGGCGGGGGCACGCGCCGGCTTGCTCGCACGGGCCGATGCGTACGCGAAGTGGTTGAAGAGCGCGTCTGGTGCTGGGGCGGGGGCTAGCCTCGGAGGGGGTGGCTGCTCTGCGCCGCTGCAGCATAGTTAGAAGTAAGCTGAGCAGACTAGTACTCACCAGTTCCTCGCGCCTCCACAGCTAGTGTTCACCCTCACTTGCATACCCCTCCCCCGAGCGTGCCAAAACCCCTGTTCCAACAGCTTACATGACGTCTGCCTCCAAGCTCTCTTCTGGAGTGTGGATTAGCGCGTAAGCTCGCACTGCAAACCGACTGGCCGGGGGTACATCAAGTGGACGCGACGCTACGCGTCACGCGCAGGGGCGGTTTGATTCTGCTTGAGTTGCTGCTGGATGAGGTTTGAGGAGCGACATGTAGATGCAGTCCGAGGTGAGCGATGTAAAGGATGGCGGAGCTGGCATCGGTGAAACGGTCGTGGTATGAGAGGTAAAGCAGTAACGAACGTCGTGCACTCCCGCGCTTGTCTCCCGCGCATAGACGCCACAGTTCGTCTGGCGCGTCGTCTCCTTCGATTTCCCGCCTCGTTTCTAGCTGCACCACGGCTCATTTCATTCCCGCGCAGTCCACCTGGCCCATCCTGAACTATCGGAGCCCGTAAGCATCATCCTCGCATTTTCTTCGTGCACCATGTTGAGCTCACCTCCTTTGACTCCTGCTTTCCCCCGACGCGGTCGCCTCCCACTGTGACCGTCGAAACTTGCGAGCAGACCCTCCATAAAATGGGAGAGTCCACTGCCACTGCCTCTGCCGGCGGCTTGCCTAGATGCGCCCATCCACGTAACGCTGCGGAGGTGTGCAACAAATCCGCTGTAAGTCTTTCGCCGTCTTCCTTGATCACTATTCAACTTACGGTATCTGGGCACTGACACAGCATAAGCACTGTATCCGCCCCAAACACGTCCCGACCTCATCCACAAAGCGCTTCCGCATGTTTTTCGGGGGCATACGCCAATACATCCCCCTCCATCGCGGCCGCAAGCTGTCACTTTAGGTCGGGATCCCTTGAGGTCGTTCAGCTGTTGTGACTGGCGGTTTGGCACATGGTACGCCCGCCAGACCGTGTTGCGGTGCGTCACTGATGACATTATTTACAGTTTTCTTGACTCGACGATACGCGCTACGATGTTGCCCACTCAACCCAGGCGGCTCTTTCCTGCATGTGCATTAGTTTCGTCTATCATACACCGAGTGATGTGACCACGTACGGGTTCCGAGTACATGCGGGCGTAACCGCCTTGCTGCTCAATATCTATGACGATGTCTGCGTCTTCGTGCCCCACCCCTTGTGCGGCACTAACACCCCATTGCATGGCATTCAGTCCTGGGTCACCATCATGCTGCTCCACCTGCATATCCAGAGCACGCGTAAACACTGACATCACGCAGATGTTTACTTCGCACCACCTCGCCCTGCCAGAACGTGGCGCTGCATTCGTGCCCGCTCGTCAGTGTGTGGTCTCATTGATGATAGAGACCCGCGGTACTAACCTCATTGTCAGGCGACGGCGTAGTCTTTGTCTTATAGGCGACTTCGACCGCCAGCGGCTCCGCCCGGCGAGGGCGGCATGTGACACCGTGGGCTGCTGTGTGGCGATCGCCTAGGGCTCGCGGCTTACGTCTGGGAGTGCCAGGGTTAGGGTAGCCTCGGGTCGTCGATGTTAGGGCCCGGGGAGGCTCGCGGGACGCAGCGCAGTTGCGTAGGCCGCTAATCAAAAGTAAGCCTCTTGTGTCTATACGAGCCCCGGAACTCTTACCTTCGAGTTCAGCACACTCGACACCGCCCATCGAGCATCGACATCGAGAGCCGGGACCGGGGGCTGAGGGCATAGCCAGAGCGTCCTGTACGCCATGCTGCCGTCCGTCCCGCGGGCCCGCTCGCGCAGAGCCCGCTGGGCAGCTCCCTGCTCTCGCCGGACTTCTTCAGCCATCGGCGCGGCCGGAGCACGACACTTCCTTCGCGACGTCGTCCTGGGTGCAGCAAACTCAGTGAGTAGTCATCACACGCGACGAAGTCAAGCTGTCATACTTACCTGTTGGCACGATGTAGCGTGGTCCCCACAACTTCTTGAACCGGTCCACATCGCGCAGAGCACGGCGTTTCGAACCTGGTCGTGTACTGCGAGGGCGACGTGTTCGTGCGCTACCCACACTGGCACATATCGGGTGTGCGTAGGTGTCGCTTCGCGTTCGAGCGAACGACAAAGTTTTTCGTGTGCGTCGGTATGAACGCTGGAGGGGGGCAGGAGTCAGCAAGTGTCTGACGACGCGCTATCACATGTGAGTACGCACATTTTGCGTCGGAATGAGAGTTATCCCCGCGCATAGCGGCCCATATCACATTTGCAGCCAGCCGTCGCCCATACCACGCGGAGGTGCTCCATGCCCCGTCGCGCATCTCCCCTGTCCGCGCCAGCCGGGCATATCGCGAGCCGTCGTCGTTCTTGCCGCATGGAGGCGCGGATTCCACACGTTTGGTCCATCGCCTGGGAACCTTGCGGATGCTTCGGGTCTTCAGTTGAACTATTGATGTCTCGTAGCCGGCCATTACGTACCGTGTCCTTCCCGCGCTCTGCAAGCCTCAGGCGCATTCGCCGCTTGCAGCCGTCCCGGAGCGGCCGAACTCTCCAACAACTTCGACACATCGTACGCGGCACCGACCCCCTTTACCCAAGAGGGTGCGAGACTTAGGCTTCTTTACTTCTACGCACAGCCCGTCGTAGTCTTTCTCCAGCATCGCAACCTCGCGCTATCGCTGGACACCGCTGGGAACGTTAGCGTTAGCGATGGACTCGTGGATTAACCCTAACCAAGGCGCGGCCCTCTCGGGGTACGTGCTCGCTCGGGTCCCAAAAGACACGGCCCCGATGACGCCAAGAGCGATGTGTACTTCCCTGGCTGTGTTCCGGCTGATCTGGGAAGGGTACAGAGCGACGGCGCCGGCCGTGTTACCGTCCCAGAGCCTTCCCACTCTCCAAAGACTTCGCCACATCTTACGGGGCACTCACCTCGCTTCAGGACTATGCTTGTGCTTGTCGGGTTTCACGCACAGCGCGTCTTTGCGCGAGCGACAGGACGCGCTAGTGCTGTATGCAGCACAAAACATTAGCGGCGATCACTTGTATTCGCGACTACCCGTCGCACCTCGGTCCTCCATGCCAGCCCTATCCAACTTCCCCTCCCACCGCGCGGTGCGGGTTGGCGAGAAATGTACGGAGGAATTCGTCCGCAGGTTGTCCAGGTTGAGGAGACTGTGCGCGGGCGTATAGCCTCCCTTCACGTCCCCGCGTTGTCGTGCTCGTCGGGGTTTGATAGTAGGCAGCGGTTTTCGATGTAGGTCGAGAAAACCAGAAATTTGTGTTGTGTGGAGGGGTTGTGGCCTGTGTGTATCAAATTCCTACGCTATAATTGCACCTGCCGCAAAGCGTGTGGGTTTTCCTTCTTTTCCGACAGAGGCTTTGCCGAGTTCGGATGGATGGTGGTTTGTAGTTTCACCAAGGAATAAACACCAAAACCTTTCTCTGATCAACTGTCCACTAACACGCGAATACGTAGGGATGTGTGAGTGTGTGTGCGGGTGAGGTAGGATGGGGTGACGGGAATGCAAGTGAGGTGAAAATGTGAAATGGGGCCTAGAAACTGAGGGCTTTTGGTTAGTACGTTGACGTTTGGATGTGCTTACCCTGTGGAGCACTAGTGGCTTGTCCTGGCTTATCTTGACTGGAGGACCTTCGTAGTCCCGTATACTTGTTTAGTGGGAGGATTCTCGTGATCCTATGACTTCTTTGGCTGGAGGACACTCGTGGTCCTTAGAACTTCCTGGGTACGGCTCGGCGGCTTCGGAGGACCTTCG